CCCATGTGCTTCCCTAGCCTAGGAAATTCTGCCTAGATTCCTCTTACCTAGGACATGTACAGGTACCCCTTTAAGACACCTAGTCTTAAGCCTTGAAACAGCTCAAGTAAAGTCAGGATCTACAACTTAAATAAGGAGGTGGGGTTTCAGGAGAACTCACCAGGGGCACCTGAAGAGTGCCATGTAGCTGGAGGGGCTCAATGGGCCTACGTGGTACCAAGCCCCAGTTCAAAGTAGATTCCAGATGGTCTGGTGGGTTTCTCTGAAATCCTCCCGCACTACACCAGGAAATGTCAACGCCAAATAACCAATAACCATTCTATAGATAAGAGAAATAAGATGAGTTTTACTTGAACCAGAGTGAGCATTATAACCAGGGGAGGCCCTAGAAAGCATTCCAGAGAAGCATGGTTTTCAGTACAGTCTTATATATTTTTAGAACAAAGAAATACATTAAACACACCCAAGATACATTTTCATCAAAAGTTCAAAGAGGTATTCAATTGCAAATTAGCAGGTCACCATGACTTTGATGTCCAGAAAGAGACTAATCTGGGTGTTACCAATAGGGCATAGGAGGGGAAGTATGCATTCTTATCTTGACAGTGCACTCTTTAATGGTTAAAGCGAAGTACAATGTATGTTTGATAGGCCATAAATCAGGCTTCTCTAATTCAAGCCAACTTAGTTTTGAACCTGGATAGTCACCCCAATATGTGAAAATACCTCAATATGTGAAAATCTCTCATCAGAACTCAAGGGAACACAATAACAACTAGTGAATTAGGAATTCAGGTGAAAGCCATGAAAGCTTTCAGTGTTGGATTTTTTTGTTCTAATATCCAAGCCACTATATGAAGTTGCAGAGAATTATATGAAATTTAGTGGATTAGAGAGTGTTTGTACACAGGATGTCTTGAATTAACAATGACCTTAGATTTAGACCCCCTAAACAAGGTAACTTTGTGTCCCCAGTAAAATGTAGGGTTTCTCCGCTTCTTCAATTTTATTTAAATGGAAAAATATGTTAACTTATGTAGAGTTTTCTCCATAGGCCCTGGGGTGTAAGATTATATAAGAAAGAGAGAGAGAGAGAAAGAAGGATGAAGAGAGAGAGAGAGGGAGGGCGGGAGGAAAGGAGAAGGAGGAAGAAAAAGGAGGAAAGCGTCAGAAAAATGGACATTTTATGATGATTTTTGAGTGTTAAATGTTATATTATTTAAATGAATTTTAACTCTATCTTGTTTATTACCATTCCTTCCACTGGCTTTATTTTCTTCTTCTTCAGGATTAGATCTTTTGTGGACCTGAGAGCTCTTGCTGCCTTCTTTCTCATTCTAAGTCTTCTCCCAGCTTCCTCAGAGTTTGTGCTCACCATCCACTTTCTGGGGTAGATCCTCCCTTGCAGCCTGAGGGCTGAGCCTCCTCTCTCCCCGATTCCGTCCTCTCTAGAAATTGGGGAATCTGGCTGGGTTGCTATTTAACCCTCAGCTATTTAATCCTCTGCTATGCCCTCTAAGTACTTGCTTCCCCTTTCCCAGGAGAGGGAAGATGGAGGATGAGACTCCAGGACCTGCTCTGATCCTGGTGATCAGAGAGCAGTGCTGGGAGGGAGGAGCTATGTGGAGGGCAGGGAAAGGGTGGGAGAGCTGATGGGCAGCTCACTGCAGGGGAGAAGCACTGGACAGGAAGAGAGGAGACCAAACCCAGGACAAGTTCACCCATCAGGGAGCCTCCTACTCTGTGAAAGGAGGGGCCTGGACAGATCCCCTCTAAGGTCCCTCCCAGCTATGACATTCTGGGATTCCTGCCTCCACGCAGACAGGATTCTCCTGTGGCTATTTCAAAGGCTCCACTCTGTCTCTTCATCGTGCCTTGTCCTATTCCTGTGTCCTGACAGAGACTGCCAGCTGGGAGCCTGTTTTGGGCACCTTCAAAGAGAAGACCCCTGGCAGTCCCTGTGGTCACTTCCTCAGCCCTGCATGGAGGGAGGGCATCATTCTCTTCAAGCCTTGTCTTTGGGATCCAGCCTGGACCTCTGTTCTCTCTGTCTCTGCTCCTGAGAGGGGTCTTCAGACCACCTGGAAGGACATCATCTCCTTCCCCCAGGGTGTAGAAACTTGGTCTGCAAACCTTGCTCAGGAAAGCACGCTATAGCTGTGTGTTCAGAAGCAGCTACCTGAGAACTTCATCCAGAGCTTCTCAGTTTCTGTCTGTTTAGTAGAAAATACCAGCTTCCTTCTCTCTGTTCCCCTGGTGCTGACCCCCTCTTACCAACGCTGGGGGGAAATAGACAAACGTTGTTTGGTCAGAATTATTGGTGAAAATCCCTTAGGAAGGGGCCACACTTGAGACTGAAATGCTATCTCTCAGAAAGTCCATCTGCACATATCCCCATTGGAACAGGGCTGTTCCTTTGAGCCCCAGGTTACATAGACCACTTATGGTTAGTGTCTATTGCTGTACCCAAAATTGCATATTTCAATGTGAGATTAACTCTGAATGCTATTATTGACTGAGGTGTTACAGAATACTTTTATTTCACTCATTACTTAATGAGGAAACTAGGAGGCTGTTACAACTGGTTCAAAGGAAGAGTCAGAGACCACACCCATATAGGACATCAGGAATGCTGGAATGAATTTACCATCAGATGCCCTGCATTTACAGGAGTTTATGGTATTTGTGGCTACATAGAGAAAGGTCTGGAAGGATACACATCAATAACAGTGCTTACCTCTGGGAGGAGGCACCCTTCACACTTGTACTTGAATCAACTCCATAATCCATATAATAGTTTTTTATGAACACGTAATACTTTTACGATTACAAAGATATCACTAAAGAAAGGGGAAAATGCCCACACCAAATAGACTTGGTAATGTAAATTTTTTCAACTCAAGCTTGAGATAACCTTTAGCCTGTCCTTCCTCCATCTTTATCACTCTCCCTAGCAGCATGGATGTCCTCAGGTACTTAGTAACATGGGAGCTGACAGTGGCCATGGAAGACACCTGCTGTGGACATAGCAATAAATTTCCTTCCAATCTCAGGGCTTTGGTAAACAAGAAGGCCCTGGCTGGACTTCATCTCCCCACAGCCACCTATGGGATTGCACCCATGGGTGTCTGACTCCCTGGAACCCATCCCTGTAACCAGGAGGAGACCCCGGGCAGGGGCACCTGCTGGAGAGGAAAGGGCACCACCCTGGGATCTGAGCATGTCTGGTTCTGATCCCAGGTAGGCTTGGTCAAGAATAATCACCATCATAATGAGATGGAACACATTTATGGAACAATTATTGAGCGCTGTGCTGAAAGCTTTTATCTTCTTAAATCTCCACAATAATTCTATGAGGTAAGTATTGTTGTTATTGCCATTTCACAGATGAGAAGGCTGAAGGCTGAGAGGTTAAATATCAGTACAATCCATATAGCCAGAAAATTGAGGACTTGGCTTCAACTTAGGTCTCGCCGACGTTAAAGCCGAAGTTTAGACCACTCTGTTGTACTAGATCACCCAGTCTGACACCTCAGTCCATTTCAATAAAAACATACTTTGAAGTGGGACTGAGAGGCTGTGAGGATGCTGTGGGTTTCATGTGGTGCAGCGACAGGGTGGTGGAGCCTCCACCACGCGTGACAGGCCCCCTCCCTCCCTCTCTCATGGGACATGTGGTGTGGGATATGAACTCTCCTTGTTCTAAGACCCTGAGGTATTGTATTTATTTGTTACCACAGCACAGCCTAGTCCATCCTGACTACAATGCCTGGAAGGAGGGGGCAGGGAGAGCAGGCTTCATTACTGTATTAGTTATCTATTGCTGTGTAACCTGTTACTCAAAAACTTAGTGCCTTAATACAACACTATGTACAGTCTCACACCTTCTGAGGGTTAGGATCCAGGAGTGGTGTAGCTGGGTCCTCTGGCTCAGGGTCTCTCAGACTGGAATCAAGGTCTTGACTGGGGCTGCAGTCAGCTCAAGACTCAGTGGGGAAGAATCCACTTCCAAGCTCACTTGTGTGATTGCTGATAGGATGCAGTTCCTGTGGCTGTTGGACCGAGGACCTCAGTTCCTCCCTGGCTGTTGGCCGGAGGCTGCCCTCAGTTCCTCACCATGTGGGTTTCTTCACAAGGCAGCTGACAGCATGGCAGCTGGCTTCATCAGATGGAGGGAGAGAGAGTGTGAGCAAGACGGGTCACAGTTTTGTGTAACCTCCCATCGCTAGGTGACATCCCATCACCTTTGCTGTATCTTGTTCCTCAGAGCAAGTCACTAGGTACAGACCACACTCCAGGGGAGGGGGTTATAAAGGGTGTTAACATGAGGAGGGAGGTGTATTTGGACCCACTTTGGAAGCTGCCTCCTACAGATGTGCACTTAGTATGTGCCAGAAAATGTGCTGGTGCTTTTGATCCTTCATCTCATTTAATTCATACTACCGTTTTGAGGCAGGTAAGGAAACTGCAGCTTAGCAAGTTTAAGTAACCTGTTCAAGGTTACACTCCAGTAGAACCAGGACTTGATTCCAGAATTGCTTAAAATTCATTCTACTAGGCTACTTTCCAAGAATCAAGAGAGTATATTGGGTGGATTTCATTAAGAATATGGGTTCCATGGTTCTCTCTTTTATTCTTGATGAAAAAACACTCATGTTCCTGTTTCCAATGCCCTAGGTGTCTGCAGCATTGGGGTCAAGAGTTCTGGAGCACATGGTTCTGGAGGTCAGCATTCTGGAGTCCACGTTCCTCTGAAGGGGATCCGAGGAGGTTCTGTGTTGTTTCATGTGATCAAGGAACCAGGAACTGAGATGGAGGAGATCTCATGGGGCTTTGGCCCTGACTTAAAATACACAGTCATACTGCGAGTCCGTAATGGGTCCGAAAGGGCTCCAACCTGGGTCTACCTCCAGGATAAGTACAAGCAGAGGGTCCATGTGCCCAACATGATATCCCTGAGGATTGAGAACTTGACCCAAGAGGACAATGGGTACTATCGAGGTCGAGCCAGCTTCACTGGAGGACTGGAATCTAACCAGATTTTCCACCTCACTGTCTATGGTACGTGACACCCCCTCACCTCAATCCCATGGCTATGTCCTTCTTTTGTACTTAGGAGTGTCACAGGGGCCCCATTTTGCAGGACTCTTTCCAGATGCCAGCCTTCAGACTCTATTTTCTCCCTTGAAATTAGGGTAAGTGGGTTCACCACAAATGGATGGCGGAGCTGAAACTCACACCAGGAATAAAATCACTTCAATGTTTTGTGAGAAGAAAATGGAAATTTGGGGGAAATGGAATTTCTCCCATAACATTTATGGTTTATAGGAGTAGGTTTACTTAATTTATGTATTAGTTTTCTATTGCTGCTATAACAAATTAGAGAAGTCCCCCCTTATCCGAAGGTGATGTGTTCCATGACCCCCAGTGGATGCCTGAAACCATGGATAGTAGCGAACCCTGTATACAGTATGTGTTTTCCCATATGTATATACCTATAATAAAGTTTAATTTATAAATTAAGCACAGTAAGAGATTAATAGCAATAACTAATTATAAAAGAGAACAATTATAACAGCATACTGTGATAAAAGTTACCATAGATCTTAGCAACTTTGGCATGATTTTTTTTCTTTCCTTATTTTTTTTTTTTTTAATTTTTTGTTTATTGCGGTAACATTGGTTTATAACATTGTAAAAATTTCAGGTGTACATCATTGTACTTCTATTTCTGCATGGACTACATCATGTTCACCACCAAAATACTAATTAC